AACCCTGCAGGCCAGACAAAGTGTCTGATAACAAACAACAATTTGCACCACTGATCCGCTTGGATTCAATATTCAGTTAGAACAGGTAAAAAAAAAAAAAATTACTCTTTATTAGATACATAAACTCCAAATGTGCGACAGAAATCTCTATTTTAAAGTTTGACTCAATAAAAGCTAAACTGGGCCTGTTGCCCATGTTAGGCAATGAAGCTGTTGCTGCATAGGGAGACATTTTATTTTTATTTTATTTTATTTATCTTTCATTTGATTTGTTGTTATGGTCCTGACAGACTCATTAGTGTGCATGAAATAAATGATACCAATTTTTCTCTGTTACATAGAGAATAATAAACATACACGGTAATGTTAACAGCAGAGGATACTATATGTAGTACATTTGTCATTATTAACCATATTGGGGTCAGATCACTTTTTTATTAGTTTCGGCTCTCTTACTCTCACTTATAGTTAAACTAGATGTACTGTCAGTTACATAGAAAAAGAAATTTAACAAGAGAAATGGCTTTTTTAAAGAAAATATACAGAGAGGAAGTATGTGATAATTTTTAATCTGATTTCCACATTCTTCAATGACAGTTTACCCTGTTTATTCCTACATATAATCTTAAGTAAATCAACTTAAGTCAGCAAAACAACCAATTCAACTTAGGCTTTTGCTAATTGAAGGTGCCCTGTAAACAATTGAAGTGTTCCTGTAAACAAGCAAATTTCTGTTTACATTGACTGTTTCCCACCAAAATATATTCTTGACACACTGAATATATTTCTTTCTTCATAAAACATTTTGGAAAGCTGACTTTTAAAAAATATTTTGAAACCTGCATTGTTTACATCAATGTTGCTACCTGGAAGTCTTCTTCTTACCTGCACATCACTAGCATGTGTACACACAAAATGGGGGCCCACTCATTAAAGTCCTCCACAGAATTACTTGTAATCAACCATTCTACAGGGTATTTTTCAAACCTTTCATACATACAAGTTCTATACATTAATGGGTTACAGTTATGCACTCTAACCTGAGGATTTTAAACTAGTAATTTACTGCTATTTTCAGGTGCTACACTGGGAAATACACTTGATTTCTTCTCATGAAACAGTTACAGAAATCTGTAAGCATGTACTGTAGTTGAGTTTGCTGTCTTTCCTCCTCAGGCAGAGCATTTCAACACATTCTGGTCATTTTTGGTCCTGTTGTTTGATTGCAGGATGGCCTTGGGTGCTTCTTGCCTGAGCCACACATCCAAGGCTTTAAGGCTCCAGGCCTCATAGCCTAAAGAAGACAAGGCTGTCAGACTTCTACTTTGCTGACTTGTTTTGCTGTCAGGTTTATTGTGATGTTTTCATGGTTGCTTTTGAAGTCTCCATAACCACCTTGTGCTCTTTTTCTTTCCTCTTTTATTTTGTCATGTGAAGGAGATTTCTACAGCCGCTAATTGTCCCGTGTCCTGCAGATATTTATTGGCTGAAGCAAACTTGAAGCAAGCCTTTCAGTGGCCTTGCCTAGTGAGAAGGCCAGCTAGAGCGTAGAATAATGCAACTGAGTAAAGCCCATTGCATGAGCCTGAGTTTGTGAACGCCGACACCGGGTTGTGCATCTTAATGACCCTACGTTAATAGAAGTAAAGGAGATGAACTCGCCCATTTAAACGAATTGGCAACGCTAGCACGTAGTATCCCAGCTTAATATAAACCACAGTTTTCTGTAAAATTAGCACACACTCCCTCAAAAACACATTCATAAAAGCCAACACACGTGGGCATGCACACACACATCCTATACTGTACATGCAGACATACACACACACATGCACGGCTGGAGAATAACAAACTGATTAGCTCCCTCTCACTGAGAATTAATTGGGTTTCTTCACGCTTAAAATTAATTCCCTCTTTTTATAATGTCCTATTTAAGAGTTGTGGTGGTTAAATAAATAGAGATGATGAATGGCTGGCATACTGAGGACAGTCAGGAGTGTAACCATGGATGTGCACTTCCTGTTCACTGGAGGTGTCATGTTGGATCTGGGCGTAAACTTAACAGTGTGTTTCCTTTTGTCTTTCGGGATACAAACAGACACATTAAGATGTCAGTTTTGGGGATTCATTTTTGAGCTGGAGTCGGTTATGTTTTATGTTCTGAGATTACCATCAGCTGTGTTTTATTGCTTAGCGGCCCTGTCTGATCCTGAGATTTCTAAAGTCTCAGTTGTTAGAGTCATGTAGATATCGACTGAGCGCGTTGATATATCTGTTTTATTCAGTTACAATAAAATGTGGCCAGGCAGGGGATCAACAGCCCAAATGGTTTGAATTTGATTCCCATGGTCTCAGTTTAACACCATGTGTAGCACCTGTAGTGAAATACCTCTGTTTATTTTCCACTTTTTCTCACAAAAAACATATAAAAAGTGTTCAAATGATTATCGCTGAAATCTACCGCAAGCGGCTGAATGCTTTCCAAAACTCCCAGAGTTGTTGTAGCCTCTTGACTTCATGCTTTGGATGGATTGCCGCTTATAGAGCTCAGGTTGTATTTGACAGTGGAGAGATTTAACAGCCTGCCTGAGGATACACACATTGTTATTCACTTCATAACGTCTGAGCTGCAGTAATAGCAGTAATATCGAAAAACAAACACAGACAGACACGCAAATCAAAGCGGGGTCTGTTTGATAAAACGGTCTGTCTTTATAGCAGCTGTTGTGTTGATGAAAGTAGCTGATTGATTACAGGAGACTCCATTTACTAGTGTCACTATACAGACAATGGTGGTTGTTATTATTTGTGGTATGATAAGTATTGTTTAGTGAGAGCAGTTGTGTTCTACAGTCGTTTGATGCGTCAAATTGAGTGAAGTCATGATCTTACTTTGATTCTGCCGGTTGAATACACGATTAATGCTAATGATGTGTTTTGTCCAGTGTATTTAACATTCTCTCTCAGTCCTGTCAGGCTTTTTGGTTTCTGTTAATACAAATCTAACAGATTAATTTATGCCTGAATGCCTTTCTCTGTTGCATTGCACCTTTTCACATTCAATTAAATATAGACTTTAACAATTTAGCGAGAAGTAAGTGTTATCTAAGGAGACCACACAAAGATCATTTTAGCATCTCCACCAAAGTTAGCATTGGTGTGTGTACGGCGTGTTATTTTAAGGCAAACAAACAGCCAACCTCCTGATTCAGAGTGTGATCTGTGCTCCTGGGGTGTTGAATATTGCATTTGAGAAAGAAGATTAAATCTGATTACCGTTTTGCCATCAGGGCCCCTGTTACACTGAGTACTTTGCCTCAGGAGGCTAAGTTAATTCAGTATCATTTTTCACATCAACACTCATGCGTAGACTAACTTTTATCTTTTATGTGGCACATTTTATTTTTCCCACCTTTTTTTAGTCATTACTTTTATTTGTGTTATCAGTATTATGTTTCAGTATCTATCAATCACACATATTTAAAAAAAAAAAAGAGAGAATTCAAATTTGAGGTCGCAGGAGGAGGCATGTTTTTTATTATTTGGCACAGAGGCGGTCTGCTCCAGAGGTGGGGAAAACACATGTAACTGTAGCCTTGCTTTCTGTATTTTTGTAATGTGGTTGCCATGGCAACTGAAGGCTTGGGACTACATCAAAACCGCTGCCAAGACTGAACTGAATGAATGGAATTTGGAAACATTCATACTGTGTGTTCTCCTGACATTCAACAGTAGCATCGCCTCTAGAGGGCGTCAGTGTTAGGCTGGGTTATCAATAGTGTCATATATAATCATACACGTACAATGATTGTGAAAAGCTCCTACAATTAGTATAGTATAGTCAAAAAGAAGAGTAAAAAAGAATAGAAAACATAAGACATAATATTGGCTACTATGGAAGTAACTTTGGTAAATAAGTAAATAAAAACTATTTTTAAATGGGATGAGGGTGTGGCTCCAGTGTAAAACGAGTAACTTAGCTTAGCATAAAGATAGGAAACAGCAAGCCTCCTATAGCCAGGAGTAAAATGGTTAATGATAAAAAGCTAAGCCCTCTCACAAAGATCATAAATATAGATGCCCAAACAACATCAAAAGCCACTTCGTGTTGTCAATTTTGGATAACTTAAAACTACAAATGTACTTCAACACAAAACTATTCAGTGAAGCGTTCAGTTTTTGAAGTGTTACTGTGATAAATCACGTTTATTATCTTTATTATGAGCATCATCACTGTTGTTGTTATTACATGAGAAGCGTCTCCTCCTCCTTTATGGCAGCGTGTGGGCTCCTAAATGGGATGTGAATAAGTTAATGTATGAAGGTCGGTGTTGGAGCAACAGTGGCGCAGTGACTCGGCTCACCTGTCAGCCGGCGGTGGCGCTCTGCTGATGCGGCTGTGACAGCAGGTGTCCTCCATACAGACCAGTGTGTGTCACAGCTGTCAGTTTCCTGACAGAGACCTGTCCACACTGTCCAGCCTAGTTAGGCAGACCGGCCAGGGAACACACATACACACACAGAATTGTGTGGCCATATTTGCAAGAGCACACACATGCACACAGATGTGAATAACACCACGTCAAGGTTAGTTAGAGCTGATGACAATTGATTAGCAGGCTGGCAGGAGTCTGACTGTTTAGGATATGAACTGGTTTAAACCCCTCACTCTCTCTCTCTCTGTCTGTTTCTCTCGTATGTCTCTCACCCCTCTCCATGCCTCCCATCTCTGTCAGGGGTTTGAGTGTTTCCCAGAATCTGTCTCGCTGTCAGCACACATTACGTCTCACCTGTGCTTCCGCCTTGTGTGTCTTAAATGGAGACCGAGAATTGTATTTTTGAATGTTCTCATGCTATACATAATGTGTTTACATGTTTTCTGTTGTCCATCTTTTTTACATAATTGTGTGTTATATAATAATGTTCTACAGCGTGATTCATTTAAGTGCCTTTTTTTTTTGCGTGTTTTGTTTCTCTGTCTGTGTGCGTGTGTGCTGCAGGTAGCCGAGATGCACGGTGAGCTGATAGAGTTTAATGAGCGCCTGTACCGCTCCCTCATGGCCAAAGACCACCTCATTGTCCAGATGAGGCAGGAACTCATTGACCTGAGAGGACCGGTGAGTGACTGAACACGCACACACACTGATGTCCCCTCTCATCTGATTTCTCTGCAGGTTTCCTCCTGCCTCCACTCTCTGTCACCCTGCCATTTCCCTGACTCTCTCCTAGGGATTTGTTTGTTTTTGCAGTGGTTCCTCTGCTCATTTTTCTCTGCGGTCAATGATTGCCAATAACGGTTAACTGCATTTTCCTTTTAGTGTTCATCTGCGAGATTCCTCTGTTTTCGTTTTTCTTTGATGCTCCTGCTCTGCAGTTCCCAGAGATAATCTGTCAGTCAAACAGTGTGTGCTCACATCTTTCTACTTTTTGATTTTTTTTTTGTAGGCGGTGCTCTTTTGGTGTCTGTTCAACCATGGCGGCTATCACTGCTTGTGCTAACTATCCATTTCTTCAAACAAACTACTTTCCCCCACAACTTTTAAAGTTGTCCTCTACAATAACAACAAACACACACCAGGATGCCAACATCTGGTCATGCTCAGGAGAGCTCGAAGCAGTGTGGACACACAAACACACACACCGTCCACAGTGTGAGTTGATACAGCGGCAGTGATGGGAGCCCCAGGCTGAAGATAGGACCTCTTATCCCCCAGCTTCAGCCCTGCTCTGCTGGACCACTCACTCACTCTGTGTGTGTGT